GCAATGAGAAAAGAATACATTTGATTGTACCATGAATGAAGTAAAAATAATTTTTAAAATTGGTATCGAAACACAACTTTTTTTCTATGCAAACATAGATTAAATTGTTTTATTTTATTTGGAAATTTAAAATAAGGAGGATTAGAATTTTATAAAACCATAAAATTTATACCGCTTAGAAATGTACAAGAAAACATGCACTTATCCGTCTTTGGGGGGATTAATGTGTAAATACAAATACTGCTAAGATAATAGCTCAAAGTTTGTTATTTATAAAATATACTGCCTTAAAATATCAACTGATTGTTTATATAATATTCCCATATACTCTGTTATTTCTACACAGGTCTGACCTAGTAACAAGTAGGCAATTATCTTATAAGAAAAAATAATATCAGGAAAGTACGTGATTTTAAAAATGAAAACAGCAAGAGAGTCTATAATGATCTAATGTTTCAAATAGCTTGTTTCAATAATTAGCTTTTAAAAATGTAATAAAAAATTAAACCTAAGGAAAAGTATGCTGGATATTAAAGGAACAGACACTAAGTACTTGTCTTCAACAAAAACTAATGATGTCTTCATTTATAACAAGCAAGAACATATGGGGGTTAAAAAAAAAAATGTAACTGAGCTGCAAGTAAGCTAACGTGCTTGTTGCAAAGAAACAACTAACGTTAAAATTGCACTGGGCTCAAACTTACTTTCTCACCTTTTAAAATATTATTTGAAAACATAGAAAACTTGAATTTACGTAACAGTGAGAATTTTACATTTTTAAGGCACTGTTTTTCTAGTGTTATGCTATGAAAGCAATATATGACATTAGAATCAGTTAAACTAATATGCTATACTAAATGATAAAGCAAATACAAAGTAAACATATATCTTCCATTAACTCCTGTATGACAGAAAATGCAAAAGCATATAGTTTCAGGTACTATGATATGACAACCCTGTTTCTCAATTTGACAGAGGTTGTAATAATATAAAATAATGCATCTGGGTATTATTTTGCACTATAAACATTTGGTTATCTACTGTATCATTGAAATAAATGGAATATGGTGATGTGTTTAAAGTGTTTTGATAACATGCTGAATGCTGAGTTAATTTAAAAATACAGTCTAAAAGTATTCAAATACTTATCTAAAATATTTGTGAGGATACTGGTTTCTTCATTACTCAAGTGTATTTGTCTTTCCAATGAAAGATCTGGTTCTTTAATTGAAATATTATGTGTTGGACCGCAAAGTCAATTTGAACCGAAAGGTCAGTGGATCAAGCACACCAGCTACTCCTTGGAAACCCTATACAGGGTCACTATGAATGGGAACGGACTCAACAACAACAAAATTAAGGCACTGGCAATTTGGGATTGTTGTTGTTGTTCTCAGGTGCCATCGAGTCGGAACCGACTCATAGCAACCCCATGCACAGCAGAAAGAAACAATGTTCGATCCTGGGCCAACCTCACTACCGCTGCCACACCCGAGTCCATCAATGATGCCACCTGGCTGATCCATCTCATTGGGGGTCTTCCTCTTTTTCTCTGACCCTCCACCCTACCCAGCATGACATCCTTCTCCAGAGATTGTTTCCTCCGGACAATATGTCCAAAGTAGGAGAGACAAAGTTTAGCCATCCTGGCCTCCAAGGAGCACTCTGGCTGCACTTCCTCCAAAACAGATTTATTGGTTCTTTTGGCAGTCCATGGCACTTTCAGTACTCTCCTCCAACACCACAACTCAAAGGCATGAATTCTTCTACGATCCTCCTTATTCACTGTCCAGCTTTCGCATCCATATGAGGCTATTGAAAACACAATGGCCTGGGTCAGGCGCACCCTAGTCCTCAAGCTGACATCTCTACTCTTTAATTTGGGATTAGTCATCCTAAAATAAAACAATAACTTTGAGTTCTACCCATATATTTCAGTTGGAAATATTTACGGCTATAATTTTTTTCAGAGACTTAATTTAAAAAAAGCTTTCCAGAAGATACGATTCTCATATTAAATTCTTAAACAACTTACATATTTGGAAAGTGAGTCAAAAGGATTACAAAAGTCTTATTTCTATGGATGTGTCAACTTCTCTGACTATCAAGCTGATAATAACATGAAAAAAGATCATTGTTTTTGAAATGAACCATATGTCTGGTGTGGCACTGCAGGATAATGCGATGAGCTGCAAGGTCAGTTTGAGCCACAAGGTTCAAATTCACCAATTGCTTCTCCGAAACCCTGTACAGGGTAGCTATGAGTCGGAATCGACTTGATGTCACTTAACAACAACAATAACAATATTTCAGTAGTAATATAATGGACTCTTTCAGAAATAATGCATTAATAATAATGCAACATTAAATATATGAAGAAATCACATTAACAAATATTGCACACTAAAATACAACAAATTCAAGTGGCCACAAATGGCACTTATTTAGTAAGACAAATGGCCTTATTTACTAACCCTTTTCATTTACTCAACCAATATATATATCTATAGGATACTTGGTTATGCATATTGGTAAATGATAAGTTGTTGTTTTTTGTTAAGTGCTGTGGAGTTAAGTAGGTCTAACTCATAGTGACCCTATAAAGGACTGCTAAGGAGTAGTAGTTGTTGTTGTTGTTGTTGTTAGGTGTCATCGAGTCGGTGCTGACCCAGAGTGACTTTATTTATGCACAGGAGCATGAAAACACTGCCCGATCCTGGGCCAACCTCATTATTGTTGTCATGCTTGATTCCATTGATGCTGCCACTTGGACAATCCATCTCGCTGGGGGTCTTCCTCCTTTCCTCTGACCCTCCAACTTACCAAACATGATATCCTTCTCCAGCAACTGTTCCCTCCTGACAATATGTCCAAAGTATGAGAGACGAAGTTTGGTCATCTTGGCCTCCAAGGAGCACTCTGGTTTCACTTCTTCCAAAACTGATCTTTTGGTTCTTTGGCAGCCCATGGCACTTTCAATATTCTCCTCCAACACCATAACTCAAAGGCATCAATTCTTCTATGGTCTTCCTTATTCACCGTCCAGCTTTCGCATGCAGATGGGGTTATTGAAAATACCATGGCTTGGGTCAGGTGCACCTTAGTCCTCAAGCTGACATCTGTGCTCTTCAACACTTTAAAAAGTTCCTGTGCAGCAGATTTGCC